ATAATGGTTATTATACTTTCAAAGTAAAATGGTTGTAGTTGACAGTGTCTTGATTAGAATAGAGACACTGATTTCTGCTGAAGAATCTAAAGATGTATTTTGCATCCATTTCTTCCACATATTATCATTAAGCTTAAATATAAAACATTAATCTTGATGCCAGTGAAGACTTCCATCTTGAATGAATGAGTGTTTAGTTGCCAGTGTTTAATATTCTTAAATCAGTACTCCTGTCTGCTCTGAGAGTCTTGATAAAGTGAACCTAATGACTGTGAGCAGAGGACCCATGGGCCCTCGTATGTTAAAGTGTCCTGTGATTGAATTTTCTACTTCATCTCAAGTAATTTTTTCAAATCATACATTTGCCTGATTTATAAGAACTGTTCCAGCGGAATATAGCTGCACTCGCAACATTCAATCTATAAACTGAAAGGGCCTCAGGACTGCGAGGGCTTCAGCTCCCAGGGGGAAATTCTTTATGTCAGGTTCAAGCACTATAAATAAAGGTATTGATGTGGATTTCCACTTACTCACATTTCAGGGAACATTTTTTAGCCTTGCTAGTGGCGTGGCTGTAGGGATGGCAAAGTTGGTCAGTCAGTCTGCCACTTTGGTCTATGACTCAAAAATGTACAACTGCGTGACAGATTGTGATGACATTTTGCACAGACATTCATGGATCACGTGATGATGAAGCTGTCCAGTAGTACCATCAGCTGGGAGACACCTTTGGCTTTTACTAAAATATTTTAACAACTATTGGATTGATTCCCAGGAAATTTGATACACACATTCATGTCCCCATCAGGATTTGTAATAATTTAGTTGATCCTCTGAAATTTCATCTATTAGGTTCTTATAAGTGAAATTTGTATTGTCTATGCTGTAATGTTGATCTATTCTGTACACACGACATCTGTTGCATGTTTGTCCATCTTGGAAGAGGGATTCCTCCCTCCTTCTCCTCCCCCTCTTCCTGAGGTTTCTTCAATTGTTTCCCTGTTAAAGACAGACTATAAAGCCTCTTGAGGCACATTTGTGATTTTTGATATTGGGCTATATACTGTACATTAAACTGACTTGACAATACTTGGCAACTCATGACAGTCCCAATAGCTCAGCCTCATAGCTATTACACACTCAAGACACTCAAACTGAAGGTGCTTCAAGAGAATACAGTTATGAATTGTTCTGTTTAAGAACGTTTTAGTCGGCTGTTTTCAGCTCCTTACAGTCACAAACTTCTGACTTTTAAGAACGCGTGACCTTTCATATTACTAAATATCTCTTTTGCTTCTCTGTTGCTTAGAGAGAGATCAAAATTCAAACAGTGGGAACCAATAAACCAGAATGTTAGGCCACAGTAGTCACACTTTATGCTTTTATCATGACTTTTTATCACCATCATCTTTGGTTTGTGCTAATTTTGTCTGTGAAATATTTAGGATATCTGTGTGTGTGTGTGTGTGTGTGTGTGCATGTGTGTGCGTGTGGACTTCTCAACACTTTTAGCTTGTGACAGTGACATTTTTAATAAAGTGAAATTTTTCCCTCAACCCACTTCTTCAAGCGGTTAGATTACACTATGGGTTTAAGAATGAGGGTAGCATTAGGACTGGGTTGAAGGCTTATTTAAATGTTAAAGATAATAGTTTTAATTATAGTTTTGCAGATGAACGTAAGGAGTGAGGAAATACATTTAGTCAAAAGAAGATACACATAAAGACAACATCTCGGTGGCAGGTTTGTGAATGTTTTGAAGTGAGGTCCAAAAACATTTGAATTAATTTTGTTAAGTGTTGTAACAACCATAAAAATGAGCAAAAGATTCTGAAAATGCTGATTATTTGTCCTTTTAAAATAATTTCACAAGAAAAAACCATTTACTAAACTAATATATAAATTGTTCATCTCCATCCTTATTTGAGATCCAGTTGCATAAGCAAGGCTGTACATGGAGACTTGATTTCACTTTTCACCAAACAACTACCAACTAACAGTTAAATCATCTTAAAATGTACTGTATTACAAATACGATATGCTAGATGGCTAAGAAATATCAGATTGCATTTCCGTCTGATGGGAATAAACAGGCACCATAGATTTCGTTCCACTTCTTGGAAAATTCTTGCTTATTGTTGTGGCTTAGTTGAGGTGTCTTGAAAGCTGATTGGAAGTGAGAAGAGAGGTGTGTGGCAAAGGTAAAGGGAAGTCACCTCCTCTGGTGTCACATATCCCTAAATCCCTGTGAATGAGGACAAGCAGCATCGGTTTCCTCTGCAGAGCTGACGCAAGACTTCACCCAAAAAACACACACTGAGGTAAGGCGACTTATGGGATAACTGTTATTGTATTTAACACTGCTTTGTATATCACTTCATGTTAATATTTTCAGTTATTACCAATATATAAATATTAACCACCTGTTTTTGTTTGATGCTTTAAGATCTCATTTCTTATGTAATGGCTCTCACGTTCATCTTTTCCCCTAAATAACTGTCTTTTTTATTACAACAATCCAACTACCTGAGATTCTTCACATGCTCCTGCATCATGCCAAGCCAGTCTCCACTTGTGGAAGGTACAGAAAACTTCACCAATGTAGCCTGCCCAGGGACACCCCCAGCCCCTCATCCAAGCCAAGGTTCCACAACCCCCTCCAATCCGTCAACCCTACCGAACAACCACACTTTCCCCGGCCACACAGACAGTAGGAAGTCTATCCAGACTGCGCTTCAGCCGGGACAACTAGAGGGGTCACAAACCATTTCCGACACCCACCACCAATGTCTTGGACCTCAGCCCAAACCCAGAGCCCCAGAGGACAGGGGGGAAGATGCAGGAGCAGCTCAGAGAAAGAAGCATTACTGCGGCGTGTGTGGGCATCTGCTGCTGGCTGTTGTCCTGGCTGTCTTCTTACCGCTGGTCGCTGTGGGAGTCTGCATGGCTGATATGCTAACTGGAGAGTGCTGTCATGTGCATGGGAAAGACATGGACTCTGTGGATGACCCATAGACTATATAAACACAGTCCTGATGTGAAAGAGAAAAAGTATAAGGGCTATGTTTGTGTACGTTTTTCCTGTTGAACCAAGTATTCATGAATTATAGACTACTGATAAATATATATTTTTTTTGATTTATTTCCCATCTTTCTATTGCTTTTTGGTTCAGTTCAGTACTGTTTGAAAATCCACTTGCAGATTTCAAATGTGCTTGGGAGGCAGTGAAAAGCTTACAGATTTCATATTAAGTTAGAGCAAGGACAATACTTAAAATCTCTCTTTGTGGTGCATTCAAGGAACCTTCAACATTCAAGGATTGATAGTGACTGTGAAATACTATTATATTCAAGGTTTGTCACTGGAAAGAGCAATCTTGGAAAGAAACAGTGACACCAATTGACCAATCGACTGCAGTTCTGCATTTGCTATAAAATCTGAGTGATTTTTTTGGAATACTAAAATAAAAGCAATGGCTGTAAAGAACTTAATATAAATAAAACATGCATGGGTTGCTTTAAAAAATAGTTGACAGCATCAGTTAATTATTAGGATACAATCAATAGTATGATCCTTTCAGATGACAATGGTACACCTGTGCTTTGTGTGAAATTGGGGGCAGGAAAAAAAGACTTCTGAAGAACTCCTTTGTTGTTGTTCATACTAAAGTATTATTAACTGGCATTCATTTCAAGAATAAAGATAAATTGTACAGCACTCCTAAAAATACACTTTTCCATGTCACGTGCACCACCCAGTGGCCTTATAGTACAGTGATTGTACTGAAGCTAAATTATATGGTGCCAATATGCTTTTTATGTAACATCCAGTTAACTGTTGACATGTAATCCTGCTCCAATTGTCTAATGTAGATATTTCTGTCAGATCAAGAGACTTAAAGTCCCAGTTGTGGAAAGTTGTATTGTACTCAAGCTAGCTTGTTCTCAGTTTAAAGAACTTTCATTTCATTTCACCTGGAAATATTGTACTTTTCACTGCACTACATTTATTTGACAGTTGTTATTACTTTGGCTACTTTTCAGATTAAGACATAATCATAAAAAACAAAATACCATGCATTATTGAAGATTAAACTAGTGGTTTATGGTGGTATAGTAGCCCCATGTCATGTTTCAGTTGTCCAAGTTAATTAATATCCCAAAAACGAGAATGTTTGTGCAGCAGAAGTTTTTTTT